CTGAATCCAATGGTTTGGCAATATAGTGTGTGATTTTAAATATATCTATCTATCTTCTTTTTCTAAATGCACAGGTATTTATGACCGGGCATTATAGTGAATGGGGTGGACGACCGCAGCTAGCCATTCAGAGCCGCAGCAGTAATCTCTGAGTCCTGCAGCAATAATTCGCACTCGCCTAAATCTCCATTGTGAATGAAGCCTTTGGTGTTAACAGTCACTGCAGACTGAAAAGGTGTTTGCGCGTGCGATATAGAGTAGCGAATATAGGTGAAAAACCAATGTGTGTGCTGGAGGAGGGATCTAGAAGAGAGACCTGTGTGTGTGGGGTGTGTGCGCACGCATATGCACGGAAGGAGGGATACAGAAGAAAGATCAATGTGTGTGTGCTTGAGAAAGGATATAGAAGAAAAAAAAAAAATGCAAGGGAAAAAGACACACGTGTGTGTGTGTGTGTGTGTGCGCGCCCAACGGAGGAGAGGAACAGAAGAAAGACCAATGTGTGGATGTGCACGAAAAAAAGGAAAAGAAGACAGACAAGACAAATGTGTGTGTGTGTGCTGGAGGTGGGATGCAGGGGAAAGACCAATATGTGTGCGCTGGAGGAAAGACCAACGTGTGTGTGTGTGTGTGTGTGTGTGTGTGTGCGCGCGCGCTGGAGGAGGGATGTAGGGGAGAGACCAAATCCCCCAGTGACAAAATTAAACTTTTACTTTAGGTATTATCCTCAATGATAAAGTGAAACTCTGTGTTGTGAACATCAAAACTTTGGCTTAGGCATTATTATGAATGGATTATTTTCAGGCTGTGGCTATCGTTACTTCTGATTCACAGTCCTGAAAAAAGCATGCAACAAAGAGTAAAAAAAAAAAAAAAAATCAAAACCATGTGTACTTGTCACAGATCAACAAGTTTCCAAAAAACAGTAGTAGTACCGGTCTTCATTCCTCCCATCACATTGTGATGTCATGATGCCTCCCAAACCTTAAGACTCTGAAAACAACGTTGATGGACTCTTTTTAAAGTCATCATCAAGCACCCATGTCACCAGGGGAGTATGTGGGCGCTCAACGAACAATCCTCCCCCCCCCCCCCCCCCAACACTTTGGTTCAGGGGGGAAAAAAAAAAAAAAAAAAAAAAAAAAACACAAAAAGACCTAGTCTGTCATGTCACCATGATTTCAGGCAGGAAAATGAGTCTAGTCATTAGTTAAAAGAACCTTAGATTCAGAGGTACGATCAAGCACTCTATTGAGGCAACTGTTAATACATGTAGCCCAAAACAATGCAAAAAAAAAAACCTGTGTCAGTCAGATCCGCATGTGAATAAAACTGGTGCAAGACAGACAGGATCAGCTTGTCAGGCTGTAGTAAGCTTCAACAAAAGTCTAAGGTGTTCTCTACAGGTGGAAAACAGGAGCTGAAGCCATCTTTTACCCATCTCATGCATATTTATAGGGAATAGGTGTCTTGTGTGCTGAATTCGGTGACACAATTTGAACTTGGTCACATGCCTGATGGTGTCCTGCGAGACTTGAAAATGCTGCCTTGCTGTAACTATGTGATCATTCATTAAAAATTTTGGACCCATATTGGTGATACTCGGTGTGCTGGTGACAATCTCCCTTGCGGATTCTGTTTGGTTCCAGCAGACGGTCACTGCAGCACCCACTTACACACCGCCATTTTTAAATGCAGGAACGTGTGTTTGGATTGTACACTTGAATTTGGTAACACAGTCACATGCCTATGAAGTGAAGACCCAGTCAGACAGTGGAAAATGCGATTACCATGGCTTGTTTAGGGGGCAGAGGGCCACTGGACCCATTAACTGGATAAGCTGGAGTTGACAGTTCCTTACCATTACATACACAGAAATGCTGCTTCTGTAAAATCAATGTTTTAGGATTTGAATGTCTGACATGAGCAAACAACTTTGGCCCAACAGCCAGTAAATGCATAATGAAACACAACCATACCACCATATCATACATATAAAAAAAAACTGTTCTCAGTACCCTAAGTTACAATATCCCACGCAAAAGTAAAGGATAAGCAGAACACCACAAGCGTTCTGTTGGAATGGACAAAGATCGTGGTAAGAATGTGCAGGAGGAACGGGACCCAACAATAAAGATTTAAGAGGCTGTGCAGCACTAAGCAAGCCAAGCAGCAAAGATCTCAGAAGAATGGGGAGCGGCCAGTGTGCGCTTTGTCAGGGGAGAAGAGAGAGAACACGGGAGTCTAACAAATGTAAATTTTATGAGTTTCCAACTAAATGTCTTATTTCTACCATAAGGATGCTTCCAGAATGCTACAAATAAAAAAGTTATTCACCTTCACATCAAGTGTTTTATTTCTCCCACACTAGGTAAGAAACTGACATCTGTGGCAAACTGCTTTTGAAAGGCAGAGTATTAAAAAGAAAATAGGGAAATGAATGTACAAAAAAGACACATTAATGTAGCTCTATATTCATTAAAATAATTAAGTGTAGTTTTTAAAGCAACATACAAAAGTAACTGAATTTTACTTGTATTAGCTTCCAGCAATCCCCAGCACCACTCAGCTGGGGGAAAAAAAAAGGTACTAGGAGCCAAACAGGTGTGCTGCATGTAAAATGTGCAGACAAGTACCAAGCTGGAGGAAGAATGAAAAAGTGGCGACAGACTCAGTTTCCCATCCCACACACACACACACGTATGTTTTCCATTTGGCTATGGTCAGTGTCACTACTGGTAGCATGAGGCGATAGCTGAACCCTACAGAGGTTGCACAGACAGTCCAACTCCTCACGGATGGCCGTGTCTCCCAGCACAGTCTCAAGAGCATGGAGGAGATTCCAGGAGACAATTACTCTAGGAGAGCTGGATAGGGACACAGAAGGTCCTTAATTCATCAGCAGGACCGGTATCTGCTCCTTTGTGCAAGGAGGAACAGGATGAGCACTGCCAGGGCCTTACAGACAAACCTCCAGAAGGCCACTGGTGTGAATGTCTCTGACCAATCAGAAACAGACTTCATAGGGTGGCCTGAGGGCCCAATGTCCTCTAGTGGGCCCTGCTCTCATTGCCAAGCACCATAGAGTGGATTGAAATTGGCCATTGAACACCAGAATTAGCAGGTCAGTTACTGGTACCCTGTGCTTTTCACAGATGAGAGCAGGTTCACCCTGAGCACATGTGACAGATGTGAAAGGGTTTGGAGAAGCCGTGGAGAATGTTATGCTGCCAGTAACATCTGACTGCCATTAGGTATCGGGATTCAATCTTTGGAACCATTGTCAGACTATGTTGGTGCACGACAATGCCCGGCCTCATGCGGCGAGAGTATGCAGGCAGTTCCTAGAGGATAAAAGGAATTGATACCACTGAATGGCCTCCGCGCATATGTATATATACATATATACACACACACACACACACACACACATAACATATATATATAAAATACATACATACATACACACACACATATATACACACGCATACAAACTAGATATTTCACGTCAACTGTTAGTGTTGTGTTAAACAAAGTGGAAGCAAACTCAACCATGAAGTGGTAGGCCACATAAAATGACAGAGATGGGTCAGCACATGCTGAAGTGCACAGAAGTCACTCTCTGTCTGCAGAGTTAATATTAGCTAAAGACTTCCAAACTTCATGTGGCCTTCAGATTAGCACAACAGTGCGTAGAGAGCTTCATGGAATGGGTTTCCATGGCCGAGCAGCTGCATCCAAGCCTTACATCACCAAGTGCAATGGAAAGTGTCAGATGCAGTGGTGTAAAGCACGCCACCACTGGAGTCTAGAGCAACTCTGGAGTGACGAATCACACTTCTCTGTCCGGCAATCCGATGGACGTGTCTAGGTTTGGTGATTGCCAGGAGAACGGTACTTGCCTGACTGCATTGTGCCAAGTGTAAAAAGTTTGGTAGAGGGGGGATTACGGTGTGGGTTGATTTTCAGGGGTGGGGCTTGGCCCCTTAGTTCCAGTGAAGGGAACTCTTAAAGAGTCAGCATACCTAGAAATTTTCACCTCCTGCCACCTGTAAAAGCAATCCAGCAGCTAATTAACCGTTTGAATGGCTTTTATTTCAGTAATGCAACTTAAAAGGTGAAACTAATATATGAGATAGACTCATTACATGCAAAGCAAGATAGTTCAAGCTGTGATTTGTCATAAATGTGAAGATTATGGCTTACAGCTCATGAAAACCCCAAATCCACAATCTCAGAAAATTAGAATATTGTGAAAAGGTGCAATATTCTCAGCTCAAAGTGTCCCACTCTAATCAGCTAATTAAGCCATAACACCTGCAAAGGGTTCCTGAGCCTTTAAATGGTCTCTCAGTCTGGTTCAGTAGGAATCACAATCATGAGAAAGACTGCTGACCTGACAGTTTTGCAGAAAACTATCATTGACACCCTCCATAAGGAGGGAAAGCCTCAAAAGGTAATTGCAAAAGAAGTTGGATGTTCCCAAAGTGCTGAATCAAAGGACATTAATAGAAAGTTATGTGGAAGGGAAAAGCGTGGAAGAAAAAGGTGCATATATGTACGTTACTGGGTCTTCAAGTGGGTAAAAATACAAGGCACAATGCAAGCTTTGAGATCTTTAATCAATTGTTCAAATCTAGTTTACAACCGATGAGACCTGCCAGTACAGTACAGAAATAGTGAATTACTATAAAAATTAACTACCCTGCCCAATCCTTAACATTACGTAGAGGAGACCTCAGATTTCTAGTTTTCAGAAACAAGGTGGTAAAAAAATAGGTAGCAATGTTTCAATATTTTATAAAATATGGTATGTGAAGGGGAACACGTAACAAAAGTAGACATTATTCCAAACTGTTTAAAAAAAAAAAGTTTGCATTTCCATTTTTTGCAGCCAGAGAACAGATCGTGGCAGGATACAAGCCTTCTATTGTAAGCACAAAGCAGAGGTTTCTAAGCTGTCAGAAAGTCAAATGTTCATTGTCTGGCACAGGTGCACT